ACAGAAAGGACAATCTATACTTCTGTGCTTGATAGGTAACCTCAGTTCTCTTCAAACAAACTGCTAGCACAATGCAACTTAAAGCACATCAGAGTACAGAAACTGTATTCTTTGGCAATCTTCCATATGAGGACAGCCAGTAGAACAATCCATCCTGCTGTATGTGTCTCATCTTTGATAGGTTGCAGGCATTAGGAGATGGCAAGGACCCTGCGAAGAGAGGAGAACCTTTTTCCAAAAACAGCTTGCTAACCTCTAAATGCTAACTACAAATTACTTAAGATGTAAACAAAACTGGAGCAAGGTCAGCAGTCTCCTTTCTCCTCTTTGGAGACCACAAGAATGAGGTTCCCCACAAGGATGAGGTTCTTAAATTTTTACCTCCTTTGAAGACTTTAAGATCTTTGTGACTTCATCCCACAGCCTCCAGGGAGAGACATGTAGGATCTTTACTCTAGCTTCCACACTTTTGATTGTGCTCCCATTTAATATTTTAACTGAATCTGATGAACAGAGATAGTGACAGAAATGCCATCACTGTACACCATCTGTCCATACTTCCTCTGTTAATTCTCAGTTCTGTACATAACAGCTTTGAGTATTCACCGAAAGAACTTGGTTACAGTCCCTGACAGACACTGTACCAACTTGGTAAGCTTGCTGTTATCCTCTTCACAGAAATAAGACTTCCACTATCATTTATACAACTTCTCTTCTCCCCAATAATTTCAAAACCCACTTGACTGATTTCAGCTAAATTTGACAGATGAATAGTAATCTTAAAGATGGGAAGTTCCTTTCAGTCTCATAAAAATCAGCAATCCCAATCAGTTGGGATAAGAGAGAAATCTAAATTAATGGTACCTCTTAGGCATTAATCATTGTCTTCCATTCCAAGATTCTGTGGTTGCACAACTGATGCACCTAACCATGGTCTGTCTCATCTCTGGCGCAGCCAGGCAGATAGATAGGGAAATATGTTATAGTGAGAAGTCACAGGGGGCAAGAGCTGATGACTCCGTGAGGGGTGTTTATCGTGCTGGGGCACCTGGACTGCAGGACATGCGTCCATTGGAAACCAGGCTTGTTAATCCCACTGCTTGTGGAAATACATGGGGTTTAGTCTGTTTTCTTAACTTCAGCAACTGGCTGGTAAAAAACCTACAATAGAGAGAACTTGCAGAGTTAAGCTGAAAACAGTGCCTATAACAATAGTTCCTCAAATACCTAAAGCAGGTCTGAACTTAGTAACCTTACTGTCTAAGAGATGGTATGTAGATTAAGCACTGCATGAAACAAATGCACTATTTTCACATAAATTTGTTGTTTAACTGTAAAAGTAACAGGGTGCATCCTCTCCAAGCATATTGGCATGTGTCTTGTTCCACTGCGCTGATCTCATCTCACGGTCCATAACTTGGACAGGCTGCCTTAGCTGGTGTCCACACAGAAATACTGGTGTGGAAACGATTCACTGTGGGACCAGTTTTACCCTGCCTCTATCGGCCACTCAGTTGCATTACAAGTAAATAAGTTGGCACTGAGATTGATAATGTTCTGTTGTTTTGGAGACTTAGCTAAATAAGACTGGTTTCCTAGGTATCATAGAGAGCATATGCTTCAACACCTGATACTTACATAAATCTGATATTAAGACACTTGTTTAGATGCACTTTATTTATTGCTTTTGTTAGTTATTTAGGCCTAGATTGGAAAAGGTATTTAGGCACTTATATCCTGTTACTTTTCCCTGACAGTTCTCGTTGGGGGCTTCAGGAGCTGTTGATAAATGCAGGAGGCAAATGTACAGTTTACCTACGAGAAGTTGGTAGAGCTGCCCAAACAGAAAGACTGGGACAGCTGGCAGTTTTAAGAGATTTTAATTTTGTTTCTGGGTTGACTTTCTTTCCCTGTCTAGTGTGAGCTGCCAAAACTCACAGTCATTGGCACCACAGCTACAAGAACTGCCATAGGTACCAGCACCACTGCCAAAGCTTTGCCGTGGCTCTGCTTAGGCTAACGCAGGCCTATGTCTTAGCACAGGCTGACACACATCGACTTCTTCATGACTCACCCATGGGCAATGCAAACCCTTAAAGTCTTATTCTTGCTGATGGCTGCAGCTCTGGGGAATCTTTTGCTGATATCTAGGATTTTTAGGGGATATTATTAGTTTCTTTAAATGAAACTGCCATTGACATGGAAAGCTGTAATATGAAACTAGGGTGGTTTCATTGTCTTGCCAAAAATACATACTCTGATAAGGCTCGCCTATAAAAGCCAATGAGGATTAATGCTTAGGTAGCATAGTGCTAACACTATAAATGATGGTAACTCCTGTTAAGTTAAGACAGAGAAAGAGGAACCTTCCATCAAGATCCCGTCTGTCCCACCTAAGAGGACAGCACCTGACCATGTTCAGTTCGGGTTCATCTATGAATGGATATATTATCACCAATGACAGATACCCAACCACTTACAGCTTGTTACTTTTTGCTATATTTGCATGTGCATACCTTCATTAGCAAAGATTTCTAGGATCCTTGCTTCTGTTCTGCATGGTCATCTTGATCCCATAAAGCAACTACTTGTAACAGCAGTGAGGAAGAGCTGCCAGGCTGCCTGCTGTCTGTGTATTCTCCACAAGTCTGCAACTTATGCGATCCTATCTGCATCTCTACCTGTGAGCGGCTGCGGTGGGCATGCAGGGCTTTCAGGTCTGGCCATCACCCCCTGTTGCAGCTGTATCCTAAAGATTCATGAACAGGATTTTCAGAAGCAGCTCAGTGACTCAGAAGCATCAGTTTTTATTGGGTGTCAATGGTATATGTGCTCCCACAACATTTAGGTCCTTTGAAAACTCTGTTCTCCAATAATAAGGGAGTCCATAGGCAAATATCTTTAGATCACTTCCTGCCTCAATTAGCTGTAATTAACAAGAGCACATGTGGCACTGCGTTGCAGAAGCGGCTAAAAATTGTATTGCCCGGAGGAGGCAGCTATAGGATCGACACAATTCTTCCTCTTTTGGTACATGAAACCGTTAGGATCTCTTCAAACCTGTAATCAGTAATCCATTTCCCCCCTTGATATGACACTCAAGGTTCAATATACCACTTTCTCTTGTTCCTGCTTGCTCACCCCAGTAACTGTATTAACACAAGTCTAGGCCATGAGCACACAAAGACTTGAGTGCCTGTTTCACGGCTCTTCCCTGCCACGATGCAGCATGCCTGCAGATGTGGCCCCATCCCCATGTGGGGATGCAGGCCCTGCCCAGCATGATGCAGCAGCAAAGGTATCTGTGGTATGAGATAGGTCAGTTCTCTTTTCCACTTCCTTTCTTGTTTGCTTGTTTGTTTGCAAAAGGAATCAACAGTGGGATGTCATTGCATGACTCAGAACTGGAGCCCGCAGTACAGGTAAATAGCACCTAGGCTTTCATCTGGTTCTGCCTTGGACCAGCCTGGCCCATGAGCTTTGCTGGGGATTCAAGAAATGGGAACTGGAGGTTTCCTCTTTGAAAAGGCATCGGAGAAGACGTAGTGTACCTCAGCCCTAGCTCTTCCAAGAACAAAAATCAGCTAATCATACAATCATAGAACCACAGAATGGTTTGGGTCAGAAGGGACCTTTAAAGATCATCTAGTCCAACATGTCTGCCATGGGCAGGGACATCTTCCACTACACCAGGTTGCTCAAAGCCCCAGCCAACCTGGCCTTGAACACTTCAATAACTGGGCATCCACAGCTTCTCTGGGCAACCCCTTCCAGTGTCTTACCACCCTCATTGTAAAGAATTTCTTCCTTATATCTAATCTAAATCTACTCTCTTAGTTTAAAATCATTGCCCCTTGTCCTGTCACTAGAGGCCCTGGTAAAAAGTCTCTCTTCGTCTTTCTTAAGCCCCCTTTAAGTACTGAAAGGCCGCAGTGGAACCTGCTCTTCTCCAGGCTGAACAACCCCAACTGTCTCAGCCTTTCTTCATAGGAACTTCATAGTGTTCCATCCCTCTGATCATTTTTGTGGCCGTCCTCCAGACCTGCTCCAACAGGTCCATGTCTTGTGTTGGGGGCTCCGGAGCTGGATGCAGTACCCCAGGTGGGGTCTCACGAGAGCGGAGTAGAGGGG